ATCTCTGGGGAGACCAAGGGTGAGAAGAGGAACAGTTTGACAGGACCCTAACCAAACTGGGACATATAATCCAACTCAGTGTATAATATTCCAGTTGTCGCTGGTCAGTTACTAAGTCCTGTCTGACTCTTTGCCACCCCATGGACTGCAGCATGCCAGGCTCCTCTGTCTTCCATTATCTCCCAGAGTTTGCTCAAATTCATGGCCATTGAGTAGGTGATGCCATCCAACCATCTCATCCTCTCTGCACTGTTCCCTATTCCTGGGCCTACACCTAATATCTGCTAACATTAACAGTCCACCTTCTACCAAATTTGAAATGAAGATTTATTTTGTTCATATTCTAATTTTTCTCTTCTTACAGAAGATGGATTATTATACTTGCTAAAAGAATTGGATGTGCAGCATTTATTATTAATCAATACATGTTACAGTTCTTTAAATGTTGCTAAATGATTCTAAATTATTTTAAAATAATTATTCTTACTATGCTCATATAAATCTCACATTTTAAATTCGTTGTTGGGTTGTTTCCTTCCCAGGAACTATAAACTCTATTACTGTCCATGACCGGGTCCTTGATAAGGAGGCTCTGGTTAAACCAGTAGTGTTATAAACAGATCAGAGTTCCAGTTTGCAATTAATAAAAATATATAATTGAATACATGAAGGCAAAGCAGAAGATAATTTAATCTTTCTGCTATAGTTCAGAGTCATATGGGATCATCATTATAAACCCCAATTATAGCACTGGAGACATGGAGGGAGTTGGTAAGTGGCATTCAGGCTGAAAGAATGCTAGACTGTTCAGATTTTACTGCACATATTTACAAAGGTACAACTTCATAACATCAGGCACCACATTCACTGTTTTTCCCCAATATTCTAATCCCAGTATAGGCTCTTCTTGAGCTATTCTCAGCTGACTAAATCCACTCTTCTAGCCTATAATTAAAAAATTAAGAAAACTTTCATGGTATTATCCTCTCAAAAACTTCTACCTAAATAACCAATCACATTTAAAATCCTATTTCTAAATATATTTGCATTTATTCCTTTTGATATACCCTGTTATAATTTCCTTTTATAGTTTATGCTTTTTCTTTTCATACTGCTTTTCACTGTCTAATAAAATATATGATCGTCATCCTTCTGCCCCATCACATTATTAGAGGGTCTTTTAAGGAGCTATTTATGATTTGGTATCTAAATGTTTTATTATTTTTTTAAACAAGAAAATATCATTAAATTCAAAATTCTTATAGATCTGAGAATTGTTGGTTGTTTCTAAAAAGGCCCTTTATGTTGGTCAAATAAATCATAATAATTACAGACTTTTGCTGTGTTTCAGTATGTGTACAAGATTTTCATTAGGAATGGTAAAGAAAACCACATTTAATTTTTGCTTTCTACACACATACTGAAGAGGAGAGATTTTTTTCTTCCATCTAAACTTGTCAGTAACAGTGACTAAATGCAGGTAAGTGTCTGAAAAACTCTAAATGATCCCATTTGTGTAAATTTTAGTAGATGACCTCAGGCTTCTAGGTAGCCTTGATATCACAAGACTGGAGTTGTAACTCCAGCTATTACATCTGTGTTTTAGGCAAGAATAGTGCTTGAGTCAGCCCTGCTCATAAATGAGGACACACAAATGAGTTTTCCTGGAAGGCCCATACAACACCTTCCGTCCCCAGGGCCAAAACTTAGTAACCCCTATCTGCAAGGAAGGCTGTGAGGGAGAACTTCTCACTGAACACAAAATCAGGTTTCTGTTTCTAAGAAAAAAGTGGAGAAAGAGAATAGGATAGTCAACAAGCATTATTTGCCTCTTTTCCTCTTTTAGCATCACCTTTCTCAGAAGGACTGTGAGCTCACAGAATGCTGAGATTATGTCATGTCAATTTGTATAAGCTCAGAACCTAGCACACTACCATATTTATTATGTTTTTGTTATGTTTATTAATTAAGGAAATGGAACTCTCTGCTCATTATGCATTAGAAAGATGATCCAAGGCAAATATAACATGAGCAGGTGACATGAGTTTACTGCATTTATACTGTCATTCATTCATTTCACTGTTATTTCAACTCATATCAATTGGGCTCCCAGTCTGAGACAGGCCTGTGTCATGCACGGGGAATACACAGACAAATACAAGATAGCCTCTGGCTTTAAGAAGGGGGTGGGGGAGCGAGGTCGGGGAGTAGAGGGAGGCTCCACTGGTAAACAAGCAATTTCAGGGTCACATGGTAAGAGAACCTAGTGGTCCTGAGCCACTAGTTGGGATTAGGCAGCTGTAAAGTACTCTGGGTAAAACACAGAGAGTGGAATGAAGGAAGGGAAAAGAAGGAAAAACAGTGGAGTTTGATAATAATGGAATGTCTAAGTTATATTCATAAGTCCACAATTTACTCCTTCCAGCACACATACCTTCTTCAAGACAAAAATGTTTGTTTCTCCCTTGGGACTTCCTCCCGATACATGGCTCTTAATGGATCTGACCCACTGACACGCTTCTTCTGGCCTAAGCCATAGACACAACTGTGTTTCATGGGCCTTATCTGAGCACAGTATAACTATCTTCCCAGCATCCCATCTTACAAGGTGGTGTTCCCTGGTGGGCCAGTTTGGGAAATGCTGGTCTAGATACATATTTCTCTAGCTTAGCCATATGATTCCATAGACACAATAAAAAGAGTTGCCAGGGATTTCCAGAGAAAGGAATTTATTTCCCTGAACTGCACATGTGAACTTAGGGTGTTAACACCTTGGGTTTCAGTTACATGGGTCACCAGAAGCAAAGAGGTTTCACTGGACTAATGAGGCACCATTTTAGCAATCACACAGTCAAAAAAGTTATTCAGATGATAGCTTCACTAGTAATGAAGACAGTATCTTTTCTTTCTGCAAATAACTCAATTCAGTTCATGACATATATGGCTAGAAATATACCTACATCAATTCCTACTTTCTTTGCCTAGCCCAGAGAAAGAGATGTCTTCCTAAACGTGAAGCAGAAGTCACAAAAGAGAGATTTGAAGATTCTATTCTGTGGCCTTGAAGATGGGGAAAGAGACCATGAGCCAAGAGATGGAGAAACTACAAGAGGCAAGTAAGTGGATTCTCCCCTAGAGCCTCCATGACAAACAGCAGCCCACATTTTGATTTTTGGATTTCAGGCCTCTAGAGCTGTAATAACACATTCTTATAGCCTCTAAGTTTGCAGTAACTTGTTTACAATTAGCAGCAGGAAACTAATAATACATACAACATATCTCTAGGTGCCATCGACTAGTTCATTCTCACTGATTCAGGAAAGAGGAGACATAGGTCTCTCTCCCTTGGGACTCTCCTCTTTTCTGAATCCACCCTCTCAGATTCTTCTCTTGAAAATAAAATCTGACTGTGTCACGGGGCTTTAAGTGCATGAACACTCACTTATTCCAGTTAGGTTACTTTCAGGGAATATAATTAGAGACCAGAAATAAGGGTTGTTTACAAATCCTGCCAAGGACATTTGGTGTGATCTCAAGAAGGCTTAACAGGGATGTGATTTACAGCTAAGAAAGCTCAAAACAAATTATACTATAGGCTGAACAAAGAATGAATTAACCACATGGGGCTAAGGTAGGGAAGAGACGTCTGGGTTTATCCAGGCTGGACAGCGCTAAGTTCACTGGCATCCTAGCCACCAAGAGGAAACATATACGCATGAGGACACCTCACCAGCCTCCTGGATCCTAGTAGTGCTTCTCTTAAATAGTGGACACAGTTACTCCATCATAATAAATTTCATCGTGATTAACATGCTGGTCATATGAAAGGTGATTGTCATGAGTCAGTCAACTTGTTCACCTCTGAACAAACGATAAAATCGAGGTCAGCACCCCCCTGGTGACCAACAGAAACAAGACTAAGGTTCTTCTACTTGGAAAGATCTGGAGCCCAGGTTCAACAATAACCACACCCCATACTGTTATCACTCAACCCTGTTTCAGGACCTCCATAAAAGAAGGATGACTATTCCAGGAAAACAAGAGAGGCAGGTTCTAAAAAAAAGGAGGAGGGGTCAACACTGGCAAATGCCACATTGGGGCTGAATTTTTCCATCACATTTGGCAATCAGGCGGTGACTGATGTCATTCAGTGGAGTGAAAGGTTGACAAGGGAATGAAAGCTTAAGAAATGTTAACATTAAGGCTGGAAAACTCCTCTGAGAAGAGGATCCAATGCCCTCCATCTTTTAAAAAGTTCCCCTGGGTTTTACACTTGAATCATAGAGAACTCTTCTTGTCCCCAAATCCTCCAACTGTTGACTAGCCAAATTTGAGTCTTACCATCTCTCTCCTTAGTTCACCTCGGAGGCAGAGGAACTAATGAGCTGTGCAAGAGCTAAAGGTCAAAAAAACAAGAGGAAGAAACAAAAAGTCTATCAACCCAAACTCCAAACAAGTCAAGCCCTGAGTAAGGTGAGCGGTCACAAGCTGTGCTTCAAATGTAATTATCCCGGTTTCAATGATTAAAAACCAACAACAACAAAAAAAAAAAAAAAAAAACGAGCGTCTGGACAATCAAAAGGGACACTTTCTCTTCGGAATGCTTCCTTGCGTCTCATTCATCTATCCTCATACCATCTCCCTCCAAACTGAAAGCCCTTCCTGAGTTGTGGGCTTGTGTGACTACAAAGTCTGAACCAAAGACCGAATTTTGTCCGGTGACTAGAGTAACCGCATGCAAAAGAAAAGAGATGGAACAGTGAAAACGATACACACATGTGCGTTTCCAAATAAAAGCACCGCTCTCCTTCCTCGAGGATGTGCTCTATTCAAAGGTAGATGTGTGCAGGGGCTGGGGTGGGGGAGCGGTTTTCTGAATCTGAGCCCAGCTCTTTCTAAACTTGGTTACTCACGTCTGATTCATTCGCTGTGTTTTTCGTCTCCTGTCTCTGTCACTGCCTGCTGCTGAGAAGGGGGTCGCTGAATCACTGCCACTCCAGATGAAAAGCAATTCAGACCATCAGTCCTGGGGGAATGGAAGGGCCCTTTTTTCTTTCTTTCTTTCTTTCTTTCTTTCTTTTTTTTTTTTTAACAGAGTCTGCAGAAAAAGCCTCCTACTTTCCGGGGTGACCGAGGAGGGCAGTTTTACAAGTCTCAGCCCCGGGCAATGGAATATTTTGCTCCGTGAGTGTCAGCGAGGCACCGTGTCTGGCTCTCGGGTCCACCGGGCCTCGGTGGGCGGGGGTGCGTCGCGGGCCGGGTGGCGCGGGGGCCGAGCCGGCGAAAGGGGCGGGGGCCCCAGCGGCTGGGCCACGCTCCCCGCCGCTTTAAAAGATCCCACAATGCAGCGCTGGCGTCCCAGTTCCGTTACAATGTCTCTCCCGGCGCCGGCGAACCGGCGAGGCGCGGGCGGGGGAGCCGGGGAGCGGCGGCTGTAACCCGAGCGCCCGGCCGAGGGGGGCGCCCCCGCGCCGCCGCTCTCGCGCGCTCTGCCCGCGGCCCGGCGAAGGGGCGGAGCCGCCGGCCGCCCGGCCCGGCCCGGCCCTCAGCCCGGCCCCGCGCCCAGAGGCACCGGCCGCGGGAGCGAGCCGGCCGCCGAGTCCGCCGCCCGCGTTCGCCCGGCGCCCCGCTCCGCGCCCGGCGCCCAGCAGCTCGCCGATCCTCACCGGCCCGCCCGCTCGCGGCCATCTGCGCGGCGCTGGGAGCAGCTCCCGCCGGCGGCGCCGCGGCTGCCCGCGCGCTCGCACAACCCGGCACCCCCGCCTGGGGCGTCCGCGCTCACCTAGCGCCGGCCCGGAGGTGCGCGGAGAGCGAGCGCCGCGGAGCCGGGGCCTCCCGCCGGTGCGGGGCGCGCGGCCGGCGGAGCGCCGGGGAGCGAGGCGCGCGGGGCTGCGCGGCCGGGGACCGGCGCTGGGCGGCCGCTGGGCTCCGGCCGCCGCCGCGTCCCCGGCGCCACAGCCGGCCCCGCGGGGCGGCCTGCGGGGGCGGCGCAGTTGCGAAACTGAGTAAGTATTAACTTTACTGGGCGGCCGCGGTCTCTGGGCAGCGTCCGGGGACCCCTCCCTCCTCCTCCCGGAGCCTCTGGGCTCTCCCTTCCCCGCCCCTCTCTCCTCACCTCGGGCTTCCTCGCCGGATCAGCTCCAGCCCCGCCGCCGCCGCGGGCTCCGGCTTCCTCCGGTTCACCTTTTGCCTGCTGTCTCCCCCTTTGCTCGATCTCCCTGACGCAGACCCGCGCCTTGACCAAGACAACGAGCTTGCTCCCAGCCTCTCTGTTTCCTCCCAGTGTCCTTGGCCGGGGAGTTTAGAGGCCACTTTTGTTGGGAAGGGAAACGTATGTCTGGCTTCTTTAATATTTTTCTCTCTGAATGGAAATCGGATGCTCGCTTGCCCAGCGTCGGCTTGATGAACGCTTATTTCTTTCCTCTGAAACGATGATTGGTTTACAGGTTTTTAAATGTTGTTTGAACGATTAACCATCCTCTCTTCCTATTCCCGCTTGCCGCCAACCCGTCTGGGGAGGGGAGTCCAGATGAGGGGACTTTCAGAGTAATTCCGTTTTTCAAGCTAGCAACTTTGAGAGGATTCGTCGCGGAAAGCTTAGTAAGATTGAACCTGAAGGGACGTGAGACTTGAATGTAAGGTCCACGGGTGGCACAGCGTCTTAGAAGCCGAGTGCCTGGACTCCTAATCGAGTGTTGCGTTGTTATCTTAGCATCCTAGAGCCGCCTGGGGTTGCTAGACCACTACTTTCTCAGCATCAAACGGCATCTTGAGCAGTGCAAGCGTCGGGTGTAATTGTCCACTGATCTTTAGGCATTCAGACGGGAGGTAGATGCAAGGCACGTTTCATAGCTGACTTAAACCCGTCAGGTTAGCGCAGTCAGTACATGGAAGCATTGCATTTTTGTTTTTTGTTTTTTTTTATCCTCCAGCCTGGTCACAGCGAGGACGAACATTTATGGATTTTTCCAGTATAATGTGGTTCAGCAGTTCTTCGTTAGATCTGTTTTGTCCGCAGGAAGCCCTTTTAAATATGTATAAATCTCTAAATTTTGTGTCGATTGGATTAACCACCCATTCTGGTAGGAGGCCCAGGTAGTTTTTTGTTTTTGCTTTTTATTTTCTTTTTTCTTAAGTCCTTCATGTCTGGGCTGCCAGGAGTTGGCAGTCATGTTGTGAAGGAACAGAAAAATGGGAAGCTTTCTTGATGGATTTTCAGCATCCCATCCTTTGCCTGGGCGAGGCAGCAGTGAATGCCAGCTAGCCCTCTGCGGGGAAGTGCTGAATGGAACCGGGGTATCAGGAGGCAGGACAGAGCAGAGCTCTGTAGTTTAGGAGGGTGGTCTGTGTGAGATGTTATCTTCTCTCTGGCATATTAATTGGACTTTTAATCCTGTTTATCCCCATGGGGAACTGTCCCTAAACCATAAACATTACATGTGACCATCCCCCACTTAAAGAAGACCAAATGTGATTTGCTGGTCTTTCTTTTGAAGGATCAGACCCAATAAAAATAAAATTTGTAATATAGATGGTAAAAACGTTCCCAAAATCTCCCCTTCCTCATTTTCTCTCCTTTTAAGAGTCTCAAACTGGTGCTCTCAATAAGAGACACAGTTGGCAGTAATGCTTTGAATTCTTTCCAGGTTCGTTGATGATGCCTAATTTGGGGGCTTCAGTAGCTAAGGGGGACATCCGAGAGGGAGGAAATCATGAGACTGTGCAGAGAGGCAAGGCATTACAGTTTGCTGAAGTGTCAGCATGCTGCAGGGAAAAGCAGTTAAAAAGAAGGGCAAATGTTTAGATTGCTTTTAGGGTGCATGCTTTCCTGAATTTGGCATTTGGTTGAGATATTTGGGAATTGCAGATTTTAGACTATAAGGTTGTGGTATCATTTCTTTTTGCCTAAAATTTTATTTCTATTAAGGTTCCGATTTTTTAATTTGACTCTCAATGCTTAGCCTTTGTAACCTCTGTACTGGGTGGCTTGTGTTTATTTTTGACTTGAATGTCTTGGCCATTTTGAGCTGTGATAAGGGTTTGAGAGTTTCTTACTCATTAATTGGTCTCTTTTATGTTGATACAGGTAATGACTTGAGAGTAAAAATATTGTTTGTTATTGAATATTACTACTCTTTTCATTATGGTTGACTCCTAGAATAATGACTTTGCTTGTTTGTTGTACGGCATTAAGATCCCAGATATCTTGCTAGTGTTTTAAACGTTGCAAAAATCTTTGTAGGTAGAAATGGAGTGGGGATGAGAGTGAGACAGGAGAGCATTGTGTCGCATAACTCTGAGGATATGAATTTTAAAACTAACATATCACCTGTTTTCTCTCCTTGAATGCTAGCTTGCTCCAACCCTAAATAGATTTCAAAATTCAGAGTGCAGAGGTAGTTTCGAAGAGCTCCCTATAGTGGAAAGAATGCTTATCCCACAGCCAGCCAGCCAGACTCAGGTGGTAAGTGTGACTGTGTTACTCCCAACTGAGTGAGCTTGGCCGAGCTGCTTCCACATTTGTGAGCTACAGTTTGCTTTCTGTAAAATGGGGATATTATTAGTAAAAGTGATGCTCGACACATCTTAGCCAATAAATGGCAGCATCTGCAACTTCTCAAAAACCAAACTCACAATTACTCCACTTTTCAGACTGTTCCTCCTGTTTTTCATCTCATCTACCTAGTGAGTGGCTCAGGCTGGAGTCATCTTCGACTAGGTCTTCTGTTCTGTCACCCCCACCTAGCCAGTTTGTCACAAAGTCCTGTCTACTTTTTCTGGCATAATCTCTTTGAAACCTGATTTTCAGTTTCCACTGGGCTCCCATCTTAGTTGAAGCCACCATCCTCATTCCCCACTGCAGAGACCTGCCGCTCAGGCTCTGCCCTCCTTCCAGCCCTTCTTACCACCAGCAGTCAGAAAGGGAAAAAAGAAGTCACTTGCTGTTTAAAGTCTTAAGAGCTCTTCTTGGGATAAAATAGAAAATCTACAAGGTCCTGTAGGTTTGGCCGCGTCCCCAATCGTCACCTCTGGTCAGCCACAGGATCCAACTCTACAGCCGACTCAGCTAGGGCTACTGCTGGTGGTCTGTTTCAGGATCACCCCCTCGAGGAATTTCTCATCCTCTGTGCTGGTTCTGATATCCTCTATAAAAGGTCTTCTCTGAGAAGGCCACTCCTAAAGTCTTGCAGCTTAGAACCGCTTGTCTCCCTCATAGAGTTAGCTTTTCCTTCTTAATGCTTACCACAATTTATAATTATTATTTGTCTCATGTTTCTCTCGTGCCTTTGAGAGCAGAAATAATGCCTGGTTTATTCACTAGTCTATAGATATCAGTGCTTCTTGTGTGTATAGTAAATGCTTAATAAATATTATTGTAATGAATAAGATAATAATACAAGTTGTGGTTTGTATATTGATTGCCTTCTTTATCATTGTTAAACCCACTTCTCCTAACACAAAAGCCAGGCTTGGTTCTCTCCTACATTCCTTCTTTGCTGGTTTTATGTATATCATGAAATCACCTTTGCACATATCAGATAAAATGAATACATTGAGGCTCTGTGGAAAATTCATAAATAAACTGAGACACCTTTTAATTAGTGTTACTCTTGTGATTTTCTGTAGATAATCCTTTTTTCTAAGTACATCATTAAAGGGATTAGGTTTTTTTTTTTCTCTCAGTAATCCTGTGCTGATGGAAAAAACCTTACCATGTCATATTACTTTGCATGTCATGTGATAACATGTTAGTCAGCAGCTGTGGATTGCACGGTGATCACATTCAGAGGAAGGAGACAAATTGGTAGAAAAAGGAGAGTTATAGACCTGAAGATGGCCAGTACTGCCCAGCTGTTGCCGTAACTTGTATGAATAACTAGGTGTCGCTTGGCCATTTAGTTAAGGGAGAGAGGTAGTTGCTTAAAAATGGGAGCCACCTAGAGGTATGGAAGTTCTTTCTCCCCTCTCTCTAAAGCATTCCTTATTCTAGCCAAAAAAAGTCTCATGACTTTCCAAGGCCAAGGAGGGCTTAAAGCTTTGAGTGTTTTTGTCATGTGGTTGCTTTTTACAAAATACTCACTTGATGCACTATGACTCTGAAGTATTTATTTCTTTATTAATGTTTCTGGCCTCTACTTCTTGCATAATCACCCACATGTTCTTTTGACTTTAGTTTTCTAGGACTTTGATTTCCTTTTAGAACTTAGCCCTCACACCCTCAGTGTGTAGTAATTCCAATTCTTTCCCAATTTTGTATCTGGTAGGTCACCAAGTTTGCAGGGGACTTAGGAGTTGATTGTATGATTTATTTCTTTGCTCTCAACCTCTAGTTTCCCCCCAAATGTTCTGTGTCTTTGTGGTTTGGACCCTGAGTTTTTGCCACCTAAGAGCTGGATGCCCTCAGGTTGGGAGAGTAGAACAAGGGAGATTAAAGCAT